TCTGCTAATTGTAGGTAATACTGGATTTGAAGATGATGTTAAAGAAGTTTTAACACTTTTGAACATGAAAGGCAAACATTTAGGGTAAATCTAGAGGTGACCCATGAGCTCTGAATCTGCTACTTACTAGCTAGACAATCTCAAGCAGTTCAGAAAACTATGAAATGGAGAGCACATGGGACTGTCTAATACTGGTTCTGAAATACACTAGGTGATCAATAAATCAATAATAGTCCTGAGTCCCAGTTAAGTCAGAATTTATACCGGTTCTGAAATGCTTCAGAGTAACCTCCAACCTTGATGTTAAGGACTGGGATCCAGCACAAAATTGAGAGGCTTTAGACAACACAGTCACAGTAACTGCCAGTTTTCTAACCGCTCTTATTTATCCACATCCCGCAGTGTCTGGTACAGAGTAGGCACTCAATAAACTCTTGCAAATTAGATCTGTAAACTGAACTTCTTAACCCATTCTTAACACTAATCTTCTGAAGAAGATAAGAATTACAGAAACATCACCTGATGAAACTTGCCAGAAGGAAAAGTTTTACACAAAACGGCCCAGACTTCAAGAAGATCCTCTGCAGGAGAGGCCCGGAAAGGGCCAAGAATGCTGGGCAGGCTGAAACCCAGGGGGCGTGGAGAATTTCTGATTTTTTTTTTGAGTGCACTAGTTCATTGAATCAAAGAATGTCAGTATGAAAGTTTAGAAATGATGCAGAAATCTTTTTTTTTTTTTTTTTTTTTTGTCTTTTTCCTTTTTATAGGTATTGGGGATCGAACTCACGACTGCCTGCTTCCAAGGCAGGCGCTTATGCCGCTGAGCTAAACCTCCAGCCCCAATGCAGAAATCTTTAGGCCCTCGGAGGGCATGTACCTTAAAATCAGATAAATAACAAAAAAACTAGGCCTGAGAGCCCACAGTAGACTCCCTTGTTCAGTGCTTTTTCAAGACTATATATGGGCTTATATTTGTTTGTTTTTTATTTCTTGGTTTTATTTCTTGGAGATGGGGTCTTGCTATGTAGCTCAGGCTGGCCTTTAGTTCACTATGTATTCCAGGCTTGACATCAAATTCACAGCAATCCTCCTGCTTCCGATTCCCAAGTACTGGGATTACAGGTGTGCACCACCACACCTGACTGTGAGTACAGTTTTTAATGTATTTGGAACAAGGAGAAATGAAAGAGATAGGCCACTCCCCAGAGCAGAGGACACAGTGTTGATAGGTAAGAGTCTCATTTCACAGTATCCTTCTCTATCAGAGAAACTGATCTTCAGCACTGATAAAAGTGTAGTCTAAAATAGTTGGCAGGTAATTAAGTTTTAAGATAGGGGAGAGGATAGAAAGCCTAATCAACTTAATTGAATACATGCTCCGGGCCAAAAGACCTTCTGCTTTAGACTACTGCAAGAACTGGCAGCTGTTTCCCTGGGGATGAGCAGTGCCAGCCCCCCAGGAAGGCTTAATTATCACAACCCTTCTGCATCCAGATTCCACAGTTAGCAGCTACCACGTGACTTGGCCTTCACTTAAGATAGTTCCTTCCTTTACAGAATCAGAATTGCAAAAGACTGAAACAGTAAGACGAAACACTGAAACCAACGACATATTAAGAGAGCAATGGAAAAAATTCTGCATTTATCATTAAAAAATTTGTAAATACAAAACAGAGGAGATGTGGATTAAGAAAAATCCATGTTCAAAGATTTGATAACTTGGCAGACTCCAATACTGCATCTTTATATGACACAGCAGCAACCAAAATGACTAATGAAATCTTACAAGCATTAATAACTGCAAAGCATTCAGAATAAACAGAGCACGGGCTTTGGACTCTTTTTTCAGGCAGACGTCATCTGTAGTGTTGTGTTCAGCTCATTGGTGTTCTGGGAAGGATAAATAATACATGATCTGGAAACCATGTCGGGTGAATGCAATAGACTGGGAAATGTTCGTTTTGTAGGGCAGTTCAGTTATAGTGACCAAACTGTGAAGGAGGGTCATTTTTCTATGTCAGTTTGTAAGACAGAACTAAGACTAATTAGGTGAAAGCAAACTTATCTAAGAGAAAGAAAGACAGTATTGGTTGAATGTCCAATACCTGTCCCTTGTGCTAAGTGTTTTGCATTCCTTGATTAACACATTTCAGAAATGCATATTTTTAGTGTGGTGGGGCTCTGGAAGTCATTTATCTAGTTCAGTGCTGCTCATTTTGAGCAGTGTGATGCCTTTTCTGCTTCTAAGTCTCAGGACTGCTCTCCTTTTGGAGCCAGTTTCTCAGTTGAAGGTAGGTTGTCTGGGGCTAGCAAAGGCACCTGTGATTTGGCAAAATGGATTTGCCACACAATTTCAAGGTTTCAAATTCCTCCTTGGAGAGCTGAGTATGAAAGAGGGACACCTAGTCCATATTTTCTCCAGCTGCATTTTATAGCCAGTCTTGAACATTGGGATGGAGGGTCATGTCTGTGGGAAGGCTGAGTGTGTGTGTGGGGGGGGGGGTGTAGGAATTCCTTGAATTCGGGATGGATATGTGAGAGCACATGGGCTGGATCAGAGGGTCCTCTGTGAATACACAACAGCCATTCCCTTCACCTTCACTGACAGCCCTGGAGTCCCTTGAGCTGAAACCCTTCTACATAGGATACTCTGGGCAGTGAATAGGATGTATCAGTCAGGGGCCTGTGCGGAATTCCACTCAGGATGCCAATCAGAGATGTTTTCTAATGAGTTGTAAACAGAATATCACAAAGGAATTCAAGGTACCAGACACCTTCCAAACTCAGGGCTGTGTGCTTGCTCTCTTCCTCTGTCACACCGGCTCTCCTTGGCATCTATGCGCCTCCTTCCACACACTAAAGCCTTCTTTTAGGATGCCACCTCGTCCAGGAGCACAGCACCTGCTCCTTCTCAGCACTCGCTCCTTTCTGCCACCTGACTTCCTTATACCACTTAACAGCACCAGGTATTTGTAGATTCCGTTATTTTCTGCCTCTAACCACAGTGTAGACACAGTTTTGTCTGTTTTACTTATTGCTGTAAACCCAGCCTGAGAATACTGTCTAGCCCAAGTAAGATGCTCAGCAAATATTTGTTGAATGAATGAATGAAAAAATGAAGGCTGATTGGAACTGTTAGCAGGTGGACAGAGAATTTCCCAGGACTGATGCCTAATCCCTCTTTCTTAATTCAAACCGCTAACCACTCCTTTGGTGAAACCTGCTGACAGGCAAAGAGCTTTCATTTGGCCACAAGAGGGTAGTGTTGATTTTGTTTTTATTGTGTGGGAGCTTTGTTCTGAATTATTTATTTTCTTCCTCCTTAGACCCCAGAAGGAAAATCTAGCACAAAGCTATGTCTGCAGCCAAAGTAAACATGTGGTATCTCTTTCACTCTGATGTTGTTCAAGGGAAATTCAGTTAAAAACTGTATCTAGAATGGTCCCTACCAAAAAAAGGTCACTTGAAAGCAAAACATGAGGAAAGTCTGGGAGAAAGGAACTGCCCAAGAAAGTGCCTCTACTTTAGCTTCTGTAACCATGGAGACAGACATGCCCAGATGACCTGTATTTTGTGCCACATCTATCTCCTTCATTCTGCCAGCATTCTGCCAGCTGTCCTGCAAAAGTGTGAGCTCTCACTATACAGGGTCTAGGCTAATGGTTTCAATTGTCACCTTCCAGATGCTCTGGAAAAAACATTCAAATTATCGAAAGAGTTATTCACTATTTTACTAAATCTTACTTTACGAAAAATAACATGCTAAGGTACTATGTGATATGACACATAAATCAGTCCCAAAGTCAAGGCACATAGCAATGGTACTGTAAGGTAAAAGAGGACAGGATAGATATGGGGAGTGGCTGAGCTGCAGACCAGCCACTTATTCAGGGCTGGAGCAAAGCCAGCCCTGAGAACAGGGAGCCCCAGAGCCCAGCCATGTAAACCAGCACTTGGCGTTAAGAGCAAAGCCATCTGGGAGATGTCTGGCCTTGGTGTTCTTCCCTGCTAACCACAGTGAAGAGAGCTCTGAGAATGAGACCTTGCACTTTGGCCTTGGTTGCGTGCTTCCCCACCTTTTACTATGTATAAAGACAAAGACTGTGCTAGGTTGTCGTCGCTGCCTCTCCATCAGTATTATCAGGTCCCACCCGATCCTAGTATTCCTTTTAGTATGTGTGTGTGTAGATTTTTCTTAATCTGCAGTCACCCCCTCCCGGGACCCTGCTGGTTGCACAGGCTGTAGCAGATACAAAGTCTAGAGAAGGCACTAGAAGCATTTGGGAGAAGGCTGTATCCAGTCAGGACGGAGCAGAGGAGCTTACAAGAACAAGGACATTTGAATTGGGATTCGAATGATAACAAGGTGTTTGGCTATATCTAAATAGGAGTCCCCAACCTTTCTGGTACCAGGGACTGGTTTCACAGAAGACAGTTTTTGCAGGGACAGGGGCGAGGTGGTGTGGTTGAGGGGTGGTTCAGGAAGCAGGAAATCTAAATCCCTCTGTGGTCAGCTGCAGGGTTTGTGCTCTTGCAGGAGTGTACTGCCACTGCCATTTGACAGGAGGCGGGGCAGTAGAGAGAGTGGAGGAGAGCAGCTGTGAAGACAGCTGGGCTTCACCTGCCCACATCCTGCTTCTCATCTCCTCCTGCATTGCTTGCTCCCCCCTAACAAGTTAGGGACTCAGATCTGAAGCACTTTATGATTTTACAGTTTTCTTGTTCACAGTTGATTTAGGGGTAATTTAAGAATGAGTGACTTCATGTGGGCATGAGAACAGTCAGTTTCTCAGCACATCCTACTCTCATTAGACATAATATAAAATTTAAAGAGGGAGATAATGCTGCTAAACAGTGAAAGAGCACAAACTTTGTCTCTGCCTTAGTAGTTCCTTAATTCAGTCTACCTCATGCACACTCCAAAGGGACTGAAGGATCTTACAAATGACCAGATGGATTTTTTTTCCTTAAAAAAAAAAAAATAAAGCACGGAGTGGAAATCCTAGGGGATGTTTTATTATCTTGGCTCAACAGCACAGGGTAGAACCCGGATACACAGTAATACTCTAGGATTCACAGACCAACACGTTATACTCTGCTCAAACATACTGTTTATTGAAAAGAGAAACACTCCAAAAGGAGAATGAAGAAAAAAACAAAGAAAAGATCAGATGTGAATTAGCAGCACTTACGTCACAGGCTCCTAATTCCTTCCTGGCACACAGCCCTATGCAAGGAAACGGCCACAGCCCCTTGCTAGTCACCCAGACTAGTGCGGAAGGAGGCAGTCTGCCTCGAGAGTGAGCAGCGGAGATAAGAAGTCTCTCAGCCTCTTCAGGTTCCTCCTGCTCATCAGCAGGGGCAGGGTCTCCACAATCAGGTCTGGGTTTATGTAATGCAGGTGGAATAACAGGTAACCCAGCAGCTCAACAAAGATCAGGAGCATAAAGAACCACCACCGGCAAAGTCTGCAGAGAGACATTCATTGTTAGCATGAGGAGAAGGGAAAGCCCATGATCAAGCAGTAAGGGCTGGACCTCATAGTCATGAAAGGCTGGAGAACTGGTTACTTCAGACAAAACTGATGCAGGAAAATGGGCTATGGGGTACAGAGGATAAGGGCAGATTGACACAGAAAAAGAATCTTTCTGCAACAGAATAGATACCCATGGAGAAGAGTTGGAGGAACAAAAGATGATGGATTACTGGACCTTTGTAGTTTATTAGAAAAGGCTCATAATTGTCACTTGGGAGCCTCATCACCATTAGGTCTTCTGTAGCAAGCAGGTTTAGAACTTGAAGATTTGGCCTTATGTTACTTTAACATCAAAATGACAGTGGTTGGGCTTTGCTAGACATCCCATGCTGAAATAGACTACAATGAAGTGTGTATGTTTTATGAGCATCTAAGACAAAGAAAATCTACTCTATTAACAGCTTAACTGTTTATCTTTATAGAAATATCATAAGTGGAAATTTTGTGTAAAGTATTATATCATGGACTTTAGAGTTAGTCTCATTTCAAAAATTTAAAAACAAAACACACAGAAAATTGAAGTGTCTTTTTTTTAATAATTTCTCAGCCTGCAGTAGAAGAACCAAGAAAATTAATGCATCTTATACTCTGTCAAGGAGAGTATGACAGAGGCTCTATCAAAGATCATAAGGATAAAAATGAAAAATTGAAGTGCAAAATGCAGTTTCCATGCTAAACACCCCAGCTACTTACAATATTACAACTCTAGTAATGTAACTTTATGTTAAGGGAGAAGCAATCTGGTGTTTTCTGTGTTGGGGTATAACTTACTCATTAGGTCACCTGCAGGGTAAATGTAGCTTGGACTAAGTCAAAACCAAGATTCTGCTGCTTACCTAAAAAGTGAGATCTTCCTCTGGTTCTTAGTTATAGTCTTCTCCTATGGGAAGTAATAAAACCAAAGCTGTAGCTGTTCAGGTGCTCACAGAGAGGGAGAATGACAGGGTGGCGGTGAGCAGAGATCATACCACCCAGGTATGAATCTTGCCTTGGCCCGTAAAACACTGTCTTGCAGTAAAACACTGAATCTCATTATTTCTTAATTATAGAAATATTAAAAAGAAGGAGAGAAGAAGGTGTAGAGGAGACCTACATTTTGGATAGATAAGACTCACCATGGTTTCCACCAGAACAGACCCACGCTTCACTACTTGGGAATAATTCTTCTGGGCTTTGGCTCTGGATGAAAAAGACCAGAGCCAAGAATTATATAACAACATCTGAAGAGTTGATAAAAAGGTATTGTCTAAGTCTTGCAACACATATTATTAATTTCCTGCATTCTTGATAATATTTATGGAACTCAACATCTACAATTTACAGAAACAAGGAAAATAGGATCTATTTTCAAGTGAAAGATAAGCTATGAAGATGAGGCCTAATGTTAGCCTGGTGCTGGGTTCAAACTCCACAGTGTTTCTGGGTGGCAGCTCATATGTTTTTCAGGCCACACATTCTCAACTAGGCGGTTGTCCCATTTTCTTATGCACATCTTGTTTGGAGGTCAACCGGAGATGTGGGCAGACTTCAGATACATAATTCGGAACTCCTCATGTCTGGCTTTCTACTTTCTTTCCAGCATCTTTGGCTGCTCTGAATTACATCCTCTGTTTTGGGCTTTTTTTTCCCCCCCAGAAAGACGATATAATTCCTCTTGGTGTTTTAGCTGCCTCTTGCATACGAAGTTTGGTCTCAGATTAGAAGCTATAAAAACGGGGGGTTATAACCTGCTGCCATTCTTCCTATTTTTATTCTCTCTCTAATGTCTTCTGGTTGCTGTTGATTTGTTCTGTTTTGTGGGTTACAGTTTGGTGTTTTTTATGCTATGATTCAAATCCAACAAAAGCTAAGTCAAGAGTTTTTATGAAAATTTCTTTTTAAAAAAATATATATTTATTTATATATATATTTATTTATTTTGGAGAATTTCTTTTAATAACCATCAAAGGTTAAGTGACAGGAGATTTCTGGTTATTCCTTAGAGGGAAGAGCTTGTGTCAAACCACAAGACAAAAACACCCAGCAGCTATTTGAATACACTGGAGAACATAGTCAGCAGCCAAAAGGTGCAAAGCTCAAGCAAAGAAAAGCACAAAAAGGTGAACCCCTTTTCATTTACCTCCTTTCCCCAAGGTAATTCGTCACTAGAGTCCATAAAGCAAATGCCAGCAACAGTTTGCTGAGGCGGCAAAGGAGTAAATTAAGACCAACGAGAGGCTGCTGCTTCCCACTTACATTTCTTTGTTAAGCATCAGTACTTCCTTTTCTTCTTCCAGCCGCCTCAGAGCTTCCTGGTACATCTTTCCATGTGGGTAAAGACATCATTAAAAGAATATTTATATTTTTGTCATAGACAAAAAAACACTGTGTTTAACACTCTCCAAATATTCTAAACAGTACACGCCAAAGTGTGCACAAGGTAAGAAGGAATTAACATCAAAAGTTGACTCTTGTGATTGCTCTATATGCACAAAAACTCTTGAGTTCTCCTTACTGACACCCCAGCTCTGACTCCACTGTGCTCCCTTAAGCGCGTTACCCAGCTCCAAAGCTCAGTGTCCTTTCCATCATAACAATCGTAACCTCCCTGACTTGCCAAAAGCTCTAGTCTTAGCATTACTGGGAAAACTGACTGAGAAACGTACTGTATGACAAGTGCTTAGCACAGTTCCTGGCACAGAATAACATCATTTTTGTTGCCACTGCTGGTGTACAAAAGCATTCTCCTTAGAGGCAAAGCCTGAGGAGAAGCCAAGGATCTTATGTTTTGGGGAAATTCTGCCCCAACTCTACCTTTATGCAGTGGGCCTGGTCCTCACAACGCTGTTGAATGAATTGGTAGTCATTCTTCACCTAGGAAAAAAAAAATTAACAAATGTCATGTGTTAAATCAGAACCAAACCTTCCAGCATTTGGGAGGCTAAGGCAGGGGGATTACTGGGAGTTCGAGGCCAGCCTGGGCTACAAAGTGAGTTCAAGGCCAGCCTAAACTACATGACAAGACCCTGTCTCAAAAAGAAAAATAAAAAAGAACCAAAGCTAGACAGCTCCTTGGAAACCTACCTGGCAAAGAGGACATTTGGCTAGTTACCTAGCAACAACCACTTCACAAAGAAGTGACATCATCACTCACTCACAGGGTCTGTGAGCAAAGGGAATGGTTTGCCCAGGTTGTCTATGCACCACATACCGGGGGGTGGGGACGTTATGCATTCAGTAAAGTTTGGGGTTCAGCAATGGTTTGTGGAGCTAGAGAACGGCAACAGAGATGATAAGACCAGTACCTTTAATAAAGCTTTCTTCACCTGCGTGAGAATCAGTGAGTCATTCGCCAGCAGTTTTTGCTCCCCCGCCCTGCCCTTGTTTTGAGGTTTCCTTCCTTTTACACCCCGGGCTCCCCTAGTGGAAGAGCCGTGCTCTACCTTGGCCATTTCCTTTTCCTGCTGTGCACAGGACTCTGTGGACTGTTGTAGCTTCACCTGTGGAGACAGTGAACGACAGCAAGAAGTTAACAGCATGCTTCCGTGGGAGACAAATGTGACAGAGTCATCCTCCCCAGACCAACAGCGAGCCTGGCAGTAAAGACTTCCATGTGTGGAGACCATACAAAAACCCAGGGTGGCCACGATTATCACTTCTGGGTTTCCGACGAGGAAACGAAGGCATAGAGAAGTGCACAGCTGCCTTAGATCACACAGAGGCAGGGCTGACATTTAAACCTGAGTAGGCTTAGTCTCCAGGCAGACTTGCGTCTTACTCCCATCCTGTGGATGAGCTGATAAAAGCTCCCTGGACTCGTACCCCCATATACGCCGTGGGGTATATAGGCCATCTGAATTACAGAGGGAGCAAAGCAAACATTGCTGCTCTTTTTCTAGAGCAAAACTCAGGACAGTGGAGTTCTTATGTGGCCGCGTGGCCAAATTACCACATTTGCCACATAAATCGGCCAAGAGCTTTCCAGGAGAGTTTTTGCCCTCTTTTGTGAGTTCAATTTATTCATTCAACAATTAATCACTGGGCATCTACTATGTGCCATTTTAACATACTAGGTCAAAAATTCATGTTTGTAATTGGTTTGCTTTGTGGTAAAAAAAAAAACACATAATAATAATAAAATCAGGTTTAAAAATACAACTTAACTTGGCCTGTGAATCAAGGCTTGGAAAATCAGTTGAGTTCAAGCACACACACAATTTGGAGGTTAGTATTTTCTTTCTACTTCAATGTCTGTATTTGTGTGTCCTTGTTTCTATTATAAACTTCTTGATGGAAGACCCCAGTGAACATTCAAGAACATATGTTTCACTAACTGTGGATGACAAGGCCTCTTGAGTGATTTTCTCCACTTTTCTCCACGGCATTGCATTCACCTCTGTTACTGGTGATATCACAAAGGTCTCCTGTGCCATCAGGTTAGGTGGTGGGAACAAAGAGCATCAGCTTACCTCCGATAACCATGCAGACGTGGGCAGCACTATGCCTAGGAGAACCCTTGAAAGCACTTTTTCCTAGCATTTAGAATCCTTGCATCTTGCAGAAATTCCCTAGGTTTACTGTTCTGCTCACCTTCAGTTCTGCCAAATTCTGCTTCAGGGCTTCTTTATTAGGGCCAGCATTCTTAAATCCCCTTGAAATCTGAAAAAAATTGTTCCCCAAACGATGGACTTTGTAAGATACACACAGTACACACCAAAACCCAGAGTTTAGGATTCAGAAGGACAGTTTTTGGTTCAGGTCCTGAGACAAGCTCAATGGAAAAGCGTTTCCTCAGCCCTGTGGAAGCTGCCTGGCCCCACTCCAGCTGGATGCCCCTTTCTGTTTGCATAGCTCTTGGGGGCCAAAGCAGATGGAGAAGACAATGACAAAAGTGAACAGAGAATGGAGCAGAGTGACTGGGGAAGGAGGGACAAACCGTGTCTCTCTGGTCCTTTAGCCCTGTCACTACAGCCTATAACTCTCAGAGGACCAACGCTGCTCTTAGTCACTATTTGTTTGAAGGTTCAAAGGGCAATGGGAGACAGAGCACACAGAGTTTTCTCATTGTCTATCTGTCCTCTTTCTGCCTAGAGCATCATGGGATTTCTAAGAAATGACCCGTTTCAAGGTAGACGTGGAGGTGTGGAAAACAGCACTTTCTTTATTGTATGTAATACATTTCCTCACTGCAAGTGTGCACAGAACCCTCTCCTACACTCCCAGCCCACTCCACCACACTTTCTGTTGTGAAGCAAATTAACCAAGACAACCTGGAACTCCCAAACTGCGGGCTCCTCTTACCTTCTCCTGAAGCTCCCCCACATTCTTGTTGAGGATTGTATTTTTTTTTTCCTGTGGGAAAAAGGAAGTAAAGGGCACAAAGGTGGTTTGCTCTCATACCTGCCCTCACTAGCCCGGTAAAATAACCTCTGAGGACAAGGCGATCACGTGTGAAAAGTGCACTGGGATCCCACCCGGAACCTGAGACAGATTTGGGCCTCAGCCCAGTGTGGAGTAAGCACTTCACCCTCCGAGAACTCTCCAAAGCAGCTCTGATTGCTACAGGAGGACAGGCCTTTGGAGACGTCCTTACCAGCTTTTCTGTCTCTGCTTCCAGGTCCTTCAGGGCTTCCTCCTTCTCAGATATGATCTGTTTCAACTCCTCCTTCTCTTCATCTCTTTCTGTTGACAGGGTGAGATCTCTTTCCAGACTGCAAAATAGAGTCACTCAGGTGTGGCTTAGCTCTGAGGCAGCTGCCAGGGCCCTCACTTCCTCACTTCAAAAGCTCCTGCCAACATTTCAGGGAGCACAGTGATTGCCCAAAGGTGAGCCTAATGTGGAAAGTAAAGCACGCTTTTGTTTGTGTTTCAGGATCTACGGAACAGGTTGAGATTTGCCATCAGGGAAACAGACCTCCCTCCCGCCTCTTCTCTGTGCCAGGGTGAGGGCTGATAGGTGAGGAGAAGCCCTGCCCATCCCAGTTTCAAACCCCGACCTTTGGATAGTTTTTTCTTTCTCTTGAATTTTTCTAAGGAGAGCCTCATTTGCCTCATCCAGTGTCTGCAAATCCTTTTCAAGATCTAAGTTCAGGCGGTTGAGGTTCTGTTTTGTGGCTTCCAAATTTGCTATTTCTATCATTAACCTATAGGAAAAATCAGCATTACTAAAGCCAGGACAGAAAAATAGAAGATCCCAAGAAGAGTTTTATTACTTCAATTCTTCTCCTGTTATAAACAAGCCTAACCAGATGGACTTTATTTTTAATAACAAATTTCTGTGTTGAATGGTTTTATACAAGGTAAACTCCTAGAGTCAAATCAGATTTTTTTAAAAAAATTTATTTTTGTGGTGCTAGAGAGTGAATCCAGGACTGCATACATTCCAGGCAAACATTCTACCAGTCAGCTGCATCCTCCAGCCCTCACATTGTAATTTTGAATATTTCAAGTAAAATTCACTCAAGTACAACTCTTACATGAAGCAAAACTATTTTCTCACGAATAGTTATTATTTTTAAAAAAATTTGTATGGGGTTTGTGGAATCTAAGCAATATGTATAAATTATTTAAAGAGGGAAAAGAATTTCTTCTAACTCAGGCAGGAAGGAGCCCAGCCTGATTATAAGGCAAGGGAAGAATGCATCTTTTCCTCACAAAAACCAGTTTGCTGTGTGAGACATTGACTATCCCTGGAAACCCCATTATAGTCTCATGGAGCACAGAGAACAGAAGTCAAAGTTATTTCTTCCTAGGAAGTTTTTCCAAGTGAGAGATGATGATGTTCCACATCCTGCACAACTGAAATCTCTCTTCCGAGTGGATTCTGGAGACTGCCTTAGTATACTAGTTCCTCTACTGAGGTCCCTTATTGTCCTCATTACTCACGTATCACCCAGCGGGGTTTGTTCCACTTCTTCCATATCACCTAACATAGTACTTTGTCTAGAAAGGGAAAGGCAAACATTAGACTCTGTATTTAGACGAGCCACGAAGAAATCAAAACCTTTGACACTCTCACCAGGATTAATTACAATGCTCTGCAAAAACTAAATACCACTAAAGTAGATACTAGTTTAATGTAACGTCTCATAAGTGAATACGATCAAAGCATGGAAAGCTATTTTAAAAAAACATTTATCCTTTGGCTACCTTTCTCTTCTTTGTATGCATTTGACCTGTTGAGTAAAGTGTTAAAGTACCCATGTGTAATTTTTGACAAACTTAGTAAGAGTTTATTGCTAATCCAAACCTTCAAGGAAACAGGGAAAAAAACCTAGAAGAGTGAGAGGTACCAAAAACTGCTGTCTGGTTTCTACTAGTTTGTTACCCTGCCATTTTCCTTTAAACTCTGGATATAACAGGCTGAGTTGGTCCTGAACCTGTGGCAAGAGCATCAAACTGAACACTACTACTGACAGGAAGCCACAAACAAACACTGAGTTCTCAAGTTGACCTCTCCTAACCATCGCACCAACTCTTATTGTTCAAAACTCAGTTTAAAAAAAGAAAATATCACAACTCTTTTCACATGCAGTCTTATCTCCTTTAGTTTGCAATTGAAACCTTCTCACTTTAATTCCCTTTGCCGGTCCTTCGCCCACCATCTTGCTCCATCACATTGCCTCTCCTGCTTTCTCCTCTCCTTACACCCAAGGGATTGGAATGGTGCTCTCAGGACTCACCTGGCCTTTCTCCACTGAGCTTTCTTCTTCTACCCCCACCAGAGATTCCCACTTTAAAGTCAGAAGTTTCAGAACTGCCTTGCTGACTGAGTACCTCACACGCAGTGCCACCTTCTATATCTGGCTGGGTGGCAGAGTGTCATAGTGGGTATGGATGGGTGAGGTGGCAACAATACCTCATAATCCCTTTACCAGAGTGGGAGCAGAGTGCAGAAGCTTACAGTAGTTTAGATGTCTTCTGAAGCAGCAATGAGCAGCAGCCACTTCTGGGTAAAGTTTAACCTCTTCTGAAAAGCTTTCCCTTTCTTGTGTATATTTTGCTGGGTAAAGTTTTGATGCACTTATGTATGTTTATTGACAAACTTATTGAGAGTTTATCTTTAACCCAAGCTTTTAAGAAAACTTGGGAGAAAAATTAGAAGAGTAAGCCCCAGAGTGGACCTACATTTCATTCTCTCAAACCTCTAGGCCTACCAGAAATTGTGACTACTCTTGTTTCTCACCCATGATCTCTGTATGACATCATCATACATTTCTGCTTCCAGGTCCAAACCATGAATCTATGCAAGAACCCTCATTTCGACCACTTTGGATGATCAGACTTGCAAAAATAAAAGCTCCTCTATTTTTCATCAGCTGGCACTGCCAAGTCACTAAGAAGGAAGGATATGGTTTTGCCACAGTGAAAAGATTATGAGTAGGGGAGAAGGAAGAAGGAAACAGGCGTGTTAGGCTCAAAGGCCCAGTTCTGCTGTCCACTCCTTCACAATTCCCCATCATTTTTTGATGCCTTAAATTTCCGGAGCAGTTGATGGAATTGCACATATCACTATCATTCTTCTAATCATTCCTGGATTCTTTTTCTGTGCTAAGTGGATGAGGCAGGACACAGAATTGGAGAGAAATCCATAGCGATGTGTGCTTGAACTTCAAATTTTTCTGACCCTTATAGTTAACTCCTTCCATGATTTAAGTCAAATCTTTTCCAGATAAATTATAGTAATCTGGGGCTCTGATAGAAGACATAACCTTCTTCAGGAATGTCTCTCCCTTGCAGGAATATGTGTCAGTCTTATCCATTCTTTTCAACTCAGCTCAAACATTGATGCTTTTGTAACTTCTTAAAAACTAAGTTCTAAGTTCTAAGTCTAGTAAAACGAATCCCTCTGACCTCTGGGCACTTTCCATTGTTTTTAATCTTGTTTCCATTCCATGCTTAGTCCATAAGCTCCTTTAGAGTGTATTTTAATCAAAGTTATTTTTATTTTCCTCCTTACTTGTGCTCCAGGGGCACTGTTTACATAGAATTCAATTTGGAACTAAAGTGGGTTAGATAGAGAACACATATGGATTTCTTTATGTCCTAGAACTTTGTAGTTAAACAGCAACTTTTGTCCCTGTAAATGAAATTTTATAGCCTCCTGTTCCTGTAACATCCTGTTATTTCCAAGCAGGGCCACCAAAATACAAAGCTGTCACAGCTTTTCTGCCTTTGTTCTCCTCCTGCTTGCCCACAAGTTCTGTGCAGGAGACCAAGCCCTTTGACCAAGGGTATGAAAGCTGGAGCCTGTACTTTGTCCTTTGCTCAGCCATTTTAGATTTTTCAGCTGAGCTGCTGTACAATTAAAATCCTCCTGTTTCCCATTTGGTCTCTCATGTCTCTTAAATCCTACAACAGTATTTGGTGTTACCTTGAGTAAGTTATTTAATCTCTGTTAGCTCATCTCCTGAGCTGTGAAAAGTGCTACTACTACTTTGCAAAGTTTTGATTTTTATTAAATCTAATAATTAGTGTAAAGTTAACACAATGCCTGGTATGCAATATCATCTAATTCTCACCCATTTTCTCCAACACAGTTCATTTTCTGCCTCATCTAACATTTGCACATGACACATTTTAGTTACTTATTTCTCACTGCTGAGACAAAATATCCAACACCCAAAGTTAAAGGAGAAAGGGTTTATTTAGCTCACAGTTTGTAGAGGTTTCAGTCCATAATTGGCTGGCTCCAAGGCAAGGTGGCATATGACAGGGGATCGACTGTTAATGGCAGCAGAAGACAGCAAAAGCACCCATGGGAAGAGAGGGAGTGAAGACTCTCTGTGTCCCTTATATTGTATGCAGACTACCTGCTCTAAGGTGAGTGTAGTCCTCATGCCGATAATCCCAGCATTGGACCACAATCAATCACAAAGTCTGGATTTTGCTGTCTTTGAAACCATTTCCACCCCCATGACTGAATGAGGCTTTGGGGGAGCATCCAGACACAAGCAATAACACATATGTTGAATCTTTTCAGAATACATGCATGCATAAATGATCCATATGTCTCCCATTATTTACAGTAGGCCATTTTGCCTTCCAACACACCTGAGACATTCTCATCTGTACACATGCATTAGCATAGTATCATTAGCAACAGTGCACTATGGCAGAATTCTCAACAGAAGGTTGTGTACCCCTTCAGGGGTGCAATTTGAAAGCCTCTGTTAAATATCCCAGAGAAGTAGATGCCTCTGGTTGAGAATGATTGATGGCTTAACATATTTTTCTCATCACACTGCTTCTTTTTTTTTTCCTTAAAGACATCACCTAAACTCATAGTCTATGAAACTTTCCATAATGAACACTTTTAGTTTATACCCATTACAAGTGATCATATTTTCCTGTTTCCTTTGATGCTAAGAATCTCAAAGTCACATTTGAACCCCTTATTTGATATAAATATAGACATAGATATAGGAATAGATGATACATATGCATATGAGAAGGAAGAATGTGGTTGAAAGCAACAGATAAGAGAATTGGCTTGGGAATCAGACCAAAATCACTTTGAATACTGGCTTTACTACTTCTAAGACACTTAGGCTGAATGTCAACGTGGTGGCCTTGAAAGCCACCAAGGGAATTAATAAAGTGTATTTCTGTGTGGGTCTGGGTAAGTCATGGAGGCATGTTCTGCAGAGTTATATCTGGCCCTTAACCCTTGCTTTCTGGTACTGCTTCTTCATGCTTCTTCACGCTTCTCCCCGGCCACCACAAAC